GAAGAATAATAATAATAATAATAATAATAATAATAAAAATAATAAAAATAATAATAATAATAATAAGAACAATAATAATAATAATAACAATAAGAATAACAATAACAATAATAATAACAATAACAATAATAAAAATAATAACAATAACAACAATAATAACAATAATAACAATAATAATAATAACAATAACAATAATAACAACAACAATAATAACAATAATAACAACAATAATAATAATAAGAAGAAGAATAATAATAACAATAATAACAATAATAATAATAACAATAACAATAATAACAACAACAATAATAACAATAATAACAACAATAATAACAACAATAATAATAATAAGAAGAAGAATAATAATAACAATAATAACAATAATAATAATAATAATAACAATAACAATAACAATAACAATAATAATAATAATAATAGGATTAGTTAATTATGCTAGACCATTTATTAAAGATTTAGGAAAAATTGCAACACCCTTATATGGAAAAACTTCACCAAAAGGTCAAAGATATTTTAATATAGAAGATATTAAATTAATAAAAAAAATAAAAGAGAAATTAAAAAACTTACCTAAATTATCTATGCCATTAGATACAAGACTATTTAATTATAGAAACAGATGGAAGTATAACAAGATGGGGAGCAATTTTAATTGCAAAACCTAATAAATATGCAGATAAGGATAGTGAAAAAATTGTAAGATATAATAGTGGAAATTATAAAGAAAAAGGTAATATATGTAGCATAGATTTAGAATTACTTGCAGTTAATTATGCATTAGATTCTTTTGAACTATTTATTATTTCTAAAAATTCTTAAAACGGTGATCCTTTTTCCCTTTCTATGCGTTTCACTAGCCTTTCCACTAGGCCTTTACGCTTTGAAGGGTCACTCAGGACTTATTTTGAAAACAGTTTAAACTTTAACTTGGAGTTAAGACATGCTCTTATCATATACTTAGCATGAAACATAAAACTTTACAAAGGATTTACAGAAACAAAAATCTCATAAATAACATTTGTTCTTTAAAGATCTGGGACTAATATTGATTATTAATATCATATCTTAGAACAATAAAACATATCTACCGGAATGATCCATCAGTAGTTTAAAAATATAAATATTTTTTATAGGATATTATCATATCTAAGAATAAAAACAATTAAGAATTTCCCTTTCGGGGAAGAGAGAAAATTAGAACATGTTTCAAAGAAATAAAGAACTTTTATTATTTTTCTCTATTCTGTGTGTTTACAAATGAAAGAATGACTTTTTATATAGGAAAGAAAAAGGAAGAAAGCGCGTTTTTCAAAAGCAAGGAATTTTTGCTTTTTCGAAAAAGTCAAAAAGAAAACAGTAAAAAGTATTATTATCAAATCTTACTTTATAAAACAGTAAGATCCGTTACAAATTTTTCAAAAAAAAAAACAGTAAAAAGTCTGTCTATCATACAATAATTTCTGATCTTTTTGAAAGTTTGCCAAGTGTCTCTTTTCCAGCTAAGTCTTTCTTTGTATGATCAGATCTTTCTTGAATCCTTATCTTGTCTCATAATTGTGTCGGTCAATGCTGTTTAAAGATGCTCCTCCATCAGTATAGTTTTCAGGTTAGTATTTAAAGGATTATAAGAAGGTTATAAGGCGGTTATAAATCAAATTATAAAAATCCTACTTAGTACTCTTCTTAATTGAAATATCTTTTGATAAGATAATATCCTTTTTTTTTTTCACTTTCAAAACTTTTCTTTGAAATGATTAAAGTATGCCATGTGAGATATATGAACTTGGGCCTAACTCCATTCTTGCAAGGACACCACTGGCACTCCCTTAACAAAAATTCTTAAAACAGTGATCCTTTTCCCCTTTCTATGCGTTTCATTAGCCTTTCCACTAGGCCTTTACGCTTTGAAGGGTCACTCAGGGCTTATTTTAAAAATAGTTTAAACTTTAACTTGGAGTTAAGATATGCTCTTATCATATACTCAGCATGAAACATAAAACTTTACAAAGGATTTACAGAAACAAAAATCTCATAAATAACATTTGTTCTTTAAAGATCTGGGACTAATATTGATTATTAATACTATATCTTAGAACAATAAAACATACCTACCGGAATGATCCATCAGTAGTTTAAAAATATAAATATTTTTTATAGGATATTATCATATCTAAGAATAAAAACAATTAAGAATTTCCCTTTCGGGGAAGAGAGAAAATTAGAACATGTTTCAAAGAAACAAAGAACTTTTATTATTTTTCTCTATTCTGTGTGTTTACAAATGAAAGAATGAAAGAAAAAGGAAGAAAACGCGTTTTTCAAAAGCAAGGAATCTTTGCTTTTTCAAAAACGTCAAAAAGAAAACAGTAAAAAGTTTTATTATCAAATCTTACTTTATAAAACAGTAAGATCCGTTACAAATTTTTCAAAAAGAAAACAGTAAAAAGTCTGTCTATCATACAATAATTTCTTATCTTTTTGAAAGTTTGCCAAGTGTCTCTTTTCCAGCTAAGTCTTTCTTTGTATGATCAAATCTTTCTTGAATCCTTATCTTGTCTCATAATTGTGTCGGCCAATGCTGTCTAAAGATGCTCCTCCATCAGTAAAGTCTTCTGAATTATTGTCCTCTTCTGTATTATTATCCTCATAGTCTTCTTTAATATCAATTTTCTTTTTGCCTTTGTTTTTCTTCTTTATATGCAACTTCTTTTTCTTTGAGGTCTTTTGTTTAACTTGTTGATGTAATTCTTCTATTTTATCAAACATTTCTTTCAATCTTTTTATATCTGATTGAGTAATTTGCTCTGAATCTTGTGATGATTGAAATGATTCTGATATAAGATTAACTGGGCTTTTCTGTTTTAAATCTATTGGACTAATTAATCTAGTAGCAGAATTTACAGTCTGCTGAGTCTGTTCTTCAGTAATTTTATTTTCTGTAACAGGATTTTCAGCCTGTTGAGTCTGATTAAATTCAAAAGTAGGAGAATCAACAGTCTCCTGAGTCTGTTGGGCTTTTGGTAAATCCAAAACCATAAACGGATTTGTTAAGTCTTTACCAGCTACTGTTTGAGCTGGACTAGTTATAGACTTCTTGGGCTCTATAGTGCCCGAAACTGTCTGAAAATCTGAATTTAAAATTTTTATTTTAATAATTTCTTGTTCTAGATCAGAAATCTTATTTTGTAAAGATAATTTTTCTTATTGTAAAATCTGATTTGATTCATTTAAAATTTTAAAATTTCTAGTCATGCATTCACAATGTTGACAAAAATTTGAAGAAAAATCTAATGGCTGATTTGAAATATTTTTTAATGAAGGGGCTATAAAATAATTAATTCCTAAATGCTTTCTGCATTCATCTAATGTTTCTGAAACTGAATAAAATCCTTTATATAGAGGATTTGGAAAATTTTTTATACAATCTGATACTTCTATCCAAGTATGATAAACTCCTGGAAGTCTGCCTTGAAAAACAACATAACATTTAAATTTCTTATGATCTTGACTAAAATATTCTGAAAGAGCATTTAAACATGCTAAAAAGTATTTTTGATCTTTAGGATTCTTATTATAGGAAATCCATAAATTATCTAAAATACATTTTTCTGATTTTGTAATTGAAATATGAGATAATGTCTTAAAGCTAATATTACTATTTGGAAAGCAGAGTAATTCTACATTACCAAATCTTAACTTGTCATGAGTCTGTGCTAAATTAGTCTGAAATAATGATGAACTTGAACTACCAATTGTTGGCAATCCTGGTCTGGGACCTCTTGGTCTTTGCATCTACAAATTCTCAAAGAAATAATCAATCATATTCTTTATTTTTAATTATTCTACTTAATATATCTTCTATCTGATTATCACTACCTTTAATATGTTCAAAATTAATTACTAATCCAGTATTAGTAATTCTATGTATAAAATTTAACCATCTTCTTCGATTACTTCTTTTATTTTCTAATTTCATTTTATTAACAAAAATTACTATTGCTTCACAATGTGTTCTTAAAGTAATTTCTTTTTTAGAAATAATAAATAGTTCAAAAGAATTTAATGCATAATTAACTGCAAGTAATTCTAAATCTATGCTACTTATATTACCTTTTTCTTTATAATTTCCACTATTATATCTTACAATTTTTTCACTATCCTTATCTGCATATTTATTAGGTTTTGCAATTAAAATTGCTCCCCATCCTGTTATACTTCCATCTGTTTCTATAATTAAATAGTCTGTATCTAATGGCATAGATAATTTAGGTAAGTCTTTTAATTTCTCTTTTATTTTTTTTATTAATTTAATATCTTCTATATTAAAATATCTTTGACCTTTTGGTGAAATTTTTCCATATAAGGGTCCTGCAATTTTTCCTAAATCTTTAATAAAGGGTCTAACATAAT